GGTGCTATCACACCGTTCACTGAGGTACTCAAAGTGCTCTGTGGACATTAGCTCGAGTCATGTTTGTGAGGCATAAACTAAGGTAGGAGGCAGAGAAAGGCAAACTCTTGTAGCTCCAACAAAGGTGAAGAGAGGTGAGAGTGTACTGCCTTCTGATGCAAAAGGAGAAAAAAAACAGTGGTTTTAAACCTCTTTTTCTCCAGTTTCCACTCTTTTTCTCACAGATGGAAAAAGTGGAGCAGAAAATTGCTTTGCCCAAAGCCACACACTGGCAGTAATTGAAACAGTGGACAGCATTGGTTTAAATAGAAAATATGCAATACATTCATACTATTCAGGCTATTCTAAATGCTTTTTCTTTCTCTTGTCCACACACACCATTTACTTCTCAACTCTTGTTGCACAGCACTTCTGGTAGCAGAATCTTATGGGGATTCCCAAATTTCAAGTTGCTTCCAAGGAACTTCAGAAAAATAGGAAGGATACCAAATTCACTAATTTCTTAAGAGAGTCTCTCAACTTTTGGCTGCTACTTTTCCAAGGAAGAGATTAAGAGGGCAGCTCTGATTTCTGTTCTCATCCAGCAGTTGTGACCCTGTTTTCTAATATAAAGCAGCTGTTGGATCTCACAGAGGCCAGCCTCACTGTGCTAAACATCGTGATAGTAACTAACAGTCTTAAGTAGTGACACACTTAAAAAAAAAAAAACAACCAACACAAAATAACTCAATACCTATTAGACAAGAATCAAGATCCAAAGTGTTAAGAAATTAAGCCAGTCACATAGGGGGTTGGTGGAAGACCTCAGGTAATGCGTGTGGGTTCCTGGAGACCACTCTAGCCCTCTGGCATATTGCCATTCCAGCTTCAGAAGTGACACATGATGTGTTTGAAGGACACCATATAGCAAAGAGGAGAATGTTAGAGATTAAAAGCAGAAAATAACAGAAACTTAAAAGATGCATACCTCCTCCAAATAAGCTGGTTTTATCCCAGAAGTGAGATGGAGATTCACCAGAGCATATTTTTCAATCCAAGTAGATTTCTCAGACTAATGGAATGGAGTTTGTTCTGAAGGAGAGGCTAAAGAGTAGTGGTTACATTGAGTCACAATGAAGAACAAAACTTCCATGCAGCTTTTGTGGTAAATGAGATCACACATCACAGCTGCATGAAAGGACCTGGTGAAAAACACCACAGAAGCTGACTAATGCCCAGCAGCCATTGATACGGGGAACCAAGAGCCTGCAGAAGCTGTTATGTGCAAAATCTTGCTATGGGCAAAAAGGCACCCACCATAAGTGTTAAGTCACACAAAAAAAGTTAGTAGTAGCATAGTTGCAACCTTAGCAGTCCAATAATAATAAATTATTATTAGTCCAGATCGTATTATTGCAGAAAAAAAAACAAATAAATGGTATTAAAAGTCTCAATAATAATAGTATAGTTAAAATTGTTATGCATGCACTACCTACCCCTTCTGGTGTCATGCTAACCCCTTCACCTCCTGCTGGCTCCTAACACTGATGGCTTTCCTCTGGTGGAGAATGGTGGATCATAGGCACCCAGAGTCCTGTGCCAGCAGGAGTATGATGTTGTCTATGTTTTCTTCCTTCTCTCCTTTTTTCCTCTTTTAGAAATAGTTCTTACCTGGGGCTATTTTTATATGCCTTCTAATAAAGTTTTACACTTTGTGTTTTTGTCACTGGTCTGCAACTATGTATTTTGTTCTTCTCTTTTGGACTCCTAAACTTAGTTTTGACCAGCTCCAGCTCTGCATGTCTTTGACCACTGGCAAGTCATCTATAGCCTTGGAGCCTCCAGTGTCAGCTTGTGCCCCATCTCTTATGGTCCCATGCCTCTACTCTACCCTGCAGATGGTGTCTTCACTTCACAAGGCTACTGCTGTTCTAACAGGCCTTCATTTCTCTACATTGTAACATCTTTAGTCATAAATATGTAATTCTACACAGAATAACTACTTATTATTAATATCTACATAAAAGCTGTGGTTGCTCCATATAAAGGAAAAGTAAAACAAATTAGCCATAGTCTGCTGTCATTAGAAAGAGTTGTTACAGCTAAATCAAGTAAAACCAAAGCTGCAGGAAGATCAGGGAAAGTTCATACAAAGTAAATGTGATAAGTTTCAGTTCTGAGGTCTTGTAAACTCTGGACAAAGCCTATGGACTGCTACTAGAAACAGCAATACAGTTGCAGCATCAATACTAGTATTACTGGGCTACATGTTGTTTATTACCTTGCAATTCTGGATTAGTATTTGTATGTTGCATACTGTACGTAGCAGCAGAGGTGTTTCCACAAAGGGGACAGGAAGGAAGCAGGAATACTGCTGACTAGAAAACAAGCTATTGCACCTGAACTCTTTAGTTTTATGAGTACAGTTCATAGTCCATGCACACTCGGCTTAGACACATGGGGTGTGTATGCTGCAAACAAGGTCAAGAAAACCCAATAGAACAAGTCCTGTATGACAGCTGGATCGGAGGCCACACTAGAATAGTATAATGATGACTCCTGATTTTATAGTTTATTTCAAGGAAGTAGAGAATATTAAGCATTTTCCAATAGATATTCTCTAAGTATAGAACAGGATAATTATCTGAACTTTTGTCTAGTCATAAGAATAGAAACTATTTAAAGCAGTGTAAGGTCATCTGTTTAAAGCATATATTCATGGCAGAAAGGAATGGCCATTTGGCTTTGCAAAAATAATTTAAATCAATTTTTTCATTAGTATGGTCTATCACATTATTCAGAAATGGCTTCTTTCAGTAAATGGATTGTGAATCAATAGTAGATAAAAATAAAGCAGTACAAAGGGTACAGCATTCAAGAAGCTGCCTATTGTTGGAGCAAAAGACAGCAGAAATCAGTATCCCAAGATGGATATGCAAATAAATCAGATATGGGTAGATGATGCACATGGATGCCACCTTTTAACAAAAACTCCAGAGTTCTCTTTTGTCCCAAGAACCACTGAAACACGTAAGTTTATATGAGAGATCAGAAATAGATGGAGTTCGGTCTGAAGCCTGTTTTTCACTAAACATTTTCAAGCTCATCCCTCTTCAAAACTGCAGTGTCCTTCAAATATAGAGAATAAATTCTCAGGCTGCCAAAGATGTTTCTGAAGTCAGGAAGAGAAAAATATAAAAGCTCCAGACTTGGTATTATACCTCAAAAGATCAGCTCTTGAGATACACGGAATGCCCACAATTCCTGTAAGGTCAGTGAAAAGTGGTATCACTCATAACTTTTAAAGGACTTGGCTTCTAACAGAAAAAGGATTAAAAAATGTTTTTTCAAGTACACAGATCATAATGAACTTGTATTAGTTATTCAAATCAGGAAAATCTTATTTAAATGTTGCTAGAACTTCAAACATGACTAATATTCTATCATAACTTGTTAATTATTAATGAAAAAATGTAATTTGGGACCTGGCTAGTATTTCCAGGCCATTTGTGTGAATAGTTGTTTTCAACTGTGAGAGTGCCAAATGCCAGGAATTCATCATCCTTAGGTATTTAATAATTATTAACCATACATTATGATAACCTGAAAAACCTCATTATTCTCTTATCAAAACTATGAGCTTTTTATCTGTTTAAAAATGTGATTCTCATAGCTTAGTTTGAGCCTGAAGATCACATGTTCAATTATTTGTTTTAAAAAACAAGGAACAGAGTAATTGTAACTACTGACACACAATTTTAAGATTGCACAAGCTGGCACGCTTGCTAACCATGAGGTTTTGCATCTTTTCAAGAAGAACTTATTATTTAGATGGAAATTATGGATAATTACTGCAAATCATATAATTGTCTAGTTTCACTTTGAACTATTCTAAATTACGGACAAAAAAACCTGTGAAGCTGCAGTAAAAGAGAAACTTGACTCCCAGGATGAATTCACTTGAATCAGTTTTGAATTTGCTCTATTTTAATGTAGCTGTTCTGCTCTTACTGCATTAAAGGCAGAATTTCTCATTGTATCTTCTTAACACTACCTGTTAATAATGTTTATTCCAGTAGTGCATAGGGGTTTGACTTGGACTCCAAATGTGCCAACACCGTATATAAAAGAAATAAAAGCTAGTCTCTGCCTGGTGGACTGAACAGACAGAAAGCTGGAAGGAAGTAACAGGGGCAGAGGGAACAATTAGAACATCATACCACTTTTGTTTTTGTTTGAATAGTTCAGTCCCTTTTCCTGAGGCTCTGTTATGAAAGAATTGAGTAGACAAGACTAAGGTAATGAGGACACAGACCAAGCTATAGCAAGCAGCCTATCAAAACACATCAGGGGAGATTCAGAGTTCAACCTTCAAAGAAAGCAATGCAATGGTACTGCCTTGACTTCAATTTCTAAATACATCTCACTTCTCCTACCCTGTATAACCCATGTTCAGACCTAGTCCTTACCTTAAGGGTCCCACCCTGACACACTCTGGATGAAGGGATGGACTTTCTTATTTAGCACTTATTCTATACAAGGCTAAAACTTCAGTGAATTTATGCTTTCAAAATATTTCTCTCCTAGAAAGCATTCTTATGTTATAGATAGAAAGCAGAAAGACAAAAATTGTCTGACTCAGACATTCATTTTTTCTTTAATCTGTAAACTTAATTTCATCAGGAGGACTTCCTAATAGCTAATATATGTAATACATTTGTCATTATTTTGTAATAAGAAATATATACATTACCCCATTTTTGTTAATAAAGCCTTCTAAATTATACATACTCATTGAATGAATCTTAACAATTATTTTGAGCACACTTCAGATGAACATGAACATAAACCACATACTCATTATCACAAAGCAGTCTCAGGTATCCTTCTATTCGATGGGATTGGCAACATCAGTGCAAACGAGTGAAAGTCTTTCTTATACTGAACCTGCCAAATCATTTAAGTACATTAGTGTTCAGAAATTAAAAAAGGACAACAGTTGCAAGCCAGTAGCGTATCCAGGATATATATTTATATTTTTTTTCAGAATTCAATCAAATGAGTGTAAGGTCCATTTGTATCCAGTTTTAGCACCTGCCTGTTTCCATATGTGCCGTGCTTGACAAGAACACCGGCTTCCACACATTTGGCACTGGCAGCCAGTTCTTTTTCACACAAAGTCACAAACTGAGAATAAAGTTCCAGCCCTTTTTCTTTTTCAATGTTTGCATGGTACTGCATCTTCCTTCCCTTCAGTTTGCCACCTAGGGTAGCTTGTGGTATGATCAGCACATCGCCTGGTAAATCAAGGACAGAAACGTACTCGCCACTTTCATTTTCACTCAATTTAGCATTCAACAGCATATTGACTGCAAAGAAAAATGAAGTAAGAGTTAGTGTAAATAAAGTGAATTGAATAGGACCTAATATAGCATCCTGAACAAAATTCAACAAATATTGCGATGCATGAAAAACTATTCAAGTAAAAAAAAAGTTGAAAATAGAATGAAACGTGGATAGTAAATAATTACTATTAATCAACTAAGATGTCTGAGTACTGTGAAGAATATGAAGTCTATTTATATTAATATCTCTAAAGAGATTTTTTCAGGGAAGTTTTCAACTCAGTTTAGCATCACAGACTCTGCCCTCCAAGACCAAAAGAGAAACCCCCAGGATGTGCTCTCAGCATTTTCAATAGTATCTGTGCTTGTGCATTGCCAGGTCTTTCTGCTAGTCCCAGCAAGTAGCCTGAAATAGACTTTTTGTTACAGGACCTTTTGTGAAACCACTAATATAGGTCAGCCACAGGAAAGAAAAAGGGCACTCTTATACATTGCATCATGGAATTCCCCAGGTGATCCAGTGCTACTGATGGAGGAAAGGAGGGAGAAAAAGATGAAATAAAAGTAAAAAAGAAACAAAAAACTAACGAAAAAACCTCAAGGCAAAACAGCAGTGGATGAAGGCAGAAATCACTACCATTTGACCTTACCCACAGCATCTTCTCTGCTTTGATGTAAATGTTAAAAGGCATGTGGAGAAGAGGGAAAGAACTGCAGATATTGCTGTTATCACTTCTAAACCAGAAAACTGCACTTGAAATGCTAACTGTATATTATATCTGTGAAATGAGATGGGAAGGACATTGTTTAGGTATCTGCCCAACTCCCTCTGCTGGCTGTAATTTTAAATATCCTGCACATATAGTGAGACCAGTGTCAAGAAAGTTCTCAAATCAAGCCACAAATTATTTGAAAACCGTTTTCTCTAAATTCAGTTCTGTCCGGGACTGAACCTGTTGCTTGATACATGTAATATATCAAACAGCAGTTGCAGCACTTTCTCTGTTTGTTAGAAAGTTATCATAATAAGAACTGATTTTCTAAGAATTAATAATGAGCAGATGAATGCAGTGAGATGTATGGACAAGTGCCAAAAGAAAGAAAAGCGACCAAGATGTTTTTTCAGCTAGGTGACTGATTTGGAATCGTGCCAATTGCTTTTTTACTTCTTCTTGTCCAAATGGTTGCTGCCTTCTCTGCCTCTACTGCATTTATTTTTTTTCAAACAATACAAGAAAGTATAAAGATGATACCATACCAATTTTTGGAACAAGATCCTCATCGGCACCTTTGAAGAAGCATATGTAGATAACAAGCCCTCTTTGGATCTATGAAAGATTACAGAAAATTATGTCAATATTTCTCATTGTCCACCATGCATATTTACCACCAAAACTGGGAAAAAAACCAACAGAACTACACAACAAAAAGGCTCTGATAGTAGTTTGAGTTATTTAGTATAGCTCCAGACATCAAGTTTACACACAACTCTGTGGAAACTTATGATATATATTGATTATCTGCACAGTTATTACACCCATGTGAAGCCAAATTTAGTTGTACAACATACAGTATTAACATAGACAAGGTGACAAGATGAATTAGTGCAGTTAAATCCAGCATAGGAAATAATTTAACCTTTTTTTTCCTATCAAACATACAGATAAAACAATTTTCAGTGTGAATTATGAGTTTATTTCCAATTATGAAACATGACAAACACCCCAGGACTTGTCAGTGAACTGATTTATATTTTGATGATAAAAGTAATATAGAATGAATTAATTCTGAAAAAAAAAAGAGAGCATTAATTAAATATTTAAATATGATGAACCATAATTTTGATGACCAATAACTATGAAGTTATTCAGAATTTATAAAGTTGTTAAAATATTATTTATCAGTTTGGGTAAAATCTTTTTGGTGAAATGGGGCCTTTCTCCTGACTTGTACAGTGCAAAAGATATGCCACTTCTTTAGCATTCAGAAAGACTACTGGTAAGTACTATCTATTTGAGGAAAGAATTAGGTCTGTACTGAGGAAAAAGCACAGACAATTCTTGTGTAGCTTTTCTGCTCTCTTGGTTAGTTCACCAGGAATGTGTGCAACAGCCTGTGCTTTATTAAGACAGATTGATAGGGTCTGCAGCCAACAGCAATTATGTCTTATGCACAAGTATACCTGAATGGTTTAACTTATTCAGGAAAAAAAAAGAAAAAAAAAAAGGCATACAATATCCACAGGCATAGAGTGTCTAAAAAATCTCACCACTGCTTTGTCAAGAAAAAGCATCTTTATATTTTTGTTAGAAGAAAAATAAATGTCAGCTTATGAAATACCACCTAAGAGATGCTAACTAGATTGGGGCAGGAAGGGGTCATTAATATTTATGTTATCAAAGCAAAAGAATAAAAACTGGAAGAGTTTCTTTAAAATACCTTATTTTTTTTCCTCCCTTCCTTTTCTTGAAAAGATACACGCATGAGGTTTTATCCCTTTGTTATTGTACAGATTAAACAAAATGCTCAAGGCAATGACTGAGAAGAGCTTTGCCTTCTCATCTATTTTTTTAGTGATTCAATTCTGGAAAAAGTGACTGACTGCTCTTAGCAGCCAAGAGTCACATGCTGAGATCTTTCAAAAGCTTTAAATGGCTCACTTCAAGACTAATTTTGACCACTGCAGAATATTACACAGGTTCCCAAATGACTGCTATATTTCATAAACAGTGTAAGAAATCTGATGGCCTGAACCTCAAATGACACTTCAAACCATCTGTTTGAATAAAAGAAAGAAATGCAGACTGCCAAAAGTTAGGCATCCTTACATGTTGAACTAAATATTTGTTCCAGAAACACACTGGCACCAGGATATTAATGGAGACTAACAATGCACATACATCTACTAATAAAAACACTTGCGGTAAAATAGGCCAAAGGCATTTACACTGTACATCTGACCACTGCATTAGAAATAAGTGACTTGGCTATGTAGCACACATCACAGAAAACCATGCCAATTCTGAGCCTTGTGACAGTATTTTTTGGACAGTCTCACAGACAGAAGTAACAATATTCTTTAAGCAGCTTGTTTAAATGACAAAAAGGTAAACAAAGTGTTATCTGCAAGTCCTAAGGCTAGACAGCTGAAGATTAAATAAAAAAAAATCATTATTTTTCCAGCCTCTCTCATGATTTGATGCCTAGTTTGGAAAATACTTTATATCACAATATGAACCATGAATATCGAAGGAAATGAGAGGGACGGGAGGTTAAATGGAAAAAAATAATTCAGAGACAAGTTAAAGCTGCTAAGAGATTCTTCTTTTATACTACGTGTTTATGATCTTCTACAGCACCCTTCAATCATGTAATAATAGAAAAGTATTCAGCTATTTGTAAGTTGAAACTTACTGTTTCAACTATGACTGAAAATTGTGAACATTATTTTCAACACATATGTAACTATGTTTCAGCCTCACTGTGTCTTTACTGTTCTTTAATTTTATGAATTGAAGATGTGAAATTTAATGCAATTCAAGAGCTAATCTAATAATAATGCATGTCAGCCCTCCGATCTCATACCAGCGTTTCAGGTATCCTAAGACTTGTGCTTGTTTCCAGCATAAGGAACAGGAACATGTAAACCTTTTGAACCAAAGCAAAAACATCGCCACTGCTGAAGGTCCTCTGTATGCCATCAAAGTCTAGTTGAGTGCTCTTCAGAGCTATACTTAACACCAGAAAAAATCAAGCAAAATAAGACAAATAAGAAGGTTACAAATTCAACATGCTGCTGATGTGCAAACAGCCACTGCAAAGAACTTACTTAGTGACAGGCAGGGAAACCGTGCTCTGTGTGGATTTGCTGTTACCAGTAAAATGTCTCCACAAATAAATCAGCAAGCCATGTTACTTTGTAACTTTGCAACACTGGCATTTATTACACAACTGTCCTAAATAATCATCAGACCAGGCAACCTGCATCAAGATGTACCCAGCCCCTAACCCTCACAGCCAGCTTTAGCAATGCTGCCTCCAAATACTCCCATCCTCAGTAATCCTCAACAGGCCACAACTCAAACATGAAAGCACAATGAAGAGCAGTGATTAATGTATAGAAAAAAAGTACACTCCTAACCTTTTTACAGAGAAAGAACATCTGCTCTAAAGTTCCTCAGGTACCTACAGGGTCTCTTAAAGCTCAGAAGCTATTCAAAGCCACCTACATAACGTGCTATTTATAGTACACTGGAAATTTCTCAAGGTGAGGACCTACTTCTAAGTTGTTACAGACCATCAGGAACACACTGGTTTATGTACATAATAGTTCGTGAGGTCTGTATTTTTTATTTTTGCATTGACACACATATAGAGGAATTAGCATCACCCTACCAGAAAACACCAGCAGCAAATATTTCTTCCAATCACCTCTAAAGTAGTTATATTAAAGAAACTACAAACTTCCTATAGGTTTTTGTGGCATGGTCACTAGTTCTTGTCACAACAGATTTCTCCTAAAAAGGCTCAGGTATCCATGAAAGAATCCTAAGTACCTACGGCAAATACTAGTAAGATTCATGCCTGAAAAAATAACTGCTGCTGAGACAACCCAAATCTCTTGTAGATTCCTTTAGTGCAATTTGTTACTTTCCCAGTAATTTTGGTAATGCCATTTAAAACTTCAAACAAGAGACACAAACAGCATCACTTCCTTGTAATAGAGTTAGTCATGATATCTCTAAACCATATCATATGCCTCTTCTTGGAGGGTTTAAAAGACAGCCAGCAAAGTAACATTTCAGCTTTTATTTACTAGTTCTACAATTACTTCTGAGAGTAGCAAGCCAGAAACAGGATATTTCTCCTGAAATTAATTTATACTGTGCTGAACAACTTTCACTATAATTAACCTATAATTAACCTTACACTGAAAAGCTAATAATGCAATACACACAGATACACTTCAGCCAAACACAGTATCTGTGAGATGACACGTATTTCCTCTGAACTACAGAAACTAGGTCTTATGGATCCACCTGCCTCTTCCGAACAAGGAGAGAACTGTTTCAAGAACAATGTGAAAGTCAAACAGTGGAAACACCTAGGGACAGCCTTTTTTTTTAAAACTCTCTTCAGATTTGCTAAATGAACTCAAAAGCCCTTTAAATGCACTAGGAGTTTTACTTTTAAGAAGTTACATGAGTGACAATATACATAGCCCCTTCTGTTGCAGTAGTCTTTTAGACAGACAGAAGACAAAAAAACCCCAAACAATACAAAACCCAAGAGCTAAATAGCTCACACCTGCACAGGAAAGTTATTCAGTGTAGGTAACCCATAAACAGTGACAGTGCATCCCAAAGGGCAGCCCTCATGCTTTGGTAAATAGCCCTGGGCTGCACACATGGCATATAGGCAGAGACTACAGACCTACCTACCTCTTCCAACAGAAGACTAGGGGATGAAAACGGGGAAAATTACAGAGTTTCCCTTAAGCTGTGTGGTGTCCACATCCTAAATTTCATTTTTGTTTAGTGGTGTAAAAAAACATAATAAATCAGAACTATTGCTGCCACAGTTCTATTGCTCTATGTGGCCTTTCTTCTTCTCCAAGAACACACAATTCACGAGGTACACAGCTGAGACCACCAGCCAAGTTTGTAGCACCTCTGTGAAAGTGTATTTAAGCAAGGGCAGATATAGCTAAAGAGGGAACAATAAAATTAGAGGGGAAGGAAGTGGTGGATTGTGGAGCAGCCATGCTCCTAAAGGGACAACACCCTGTGGATGAACCACGATAGAGGCACAGGGAGAGGATAAGAAACAAGAGAGAAACTGCTACACACTGACCCCAAGCTCCTGTGTTGCCCCATTGGAGGGACTGAATGAAACCTGTGGTGGTAACAAGGGGGTAAAGAGAGAGCACGAGTGGGTATTAGGAAGGCTGCAGAAGTACCTGAAGTTAAGCTTACCCTGAAAAAGACGGAGGGATGTTTTCCTCAAATATCTCAGTAATTGGTTTTTAATTTTTTTGTCCCCCCACACCCAAATAACCCATTAAATACTTATGTTAACTAGCAAAACATTAACTTACGTTCCCCAAGTCAAGTCCGTTCTGCCTGTGCCGGTAACTAATCAATGTTTTCCCTGACTTCATTCTGAACCACTGCTGTTCGTGCTCGCTGTGCCCTCCCCTCCCTGCCGGCCGGGGCGCAGCGGCAGCGGGGGGGGCTCGGGCCCCCCCCCCCGGGGCTGCACGGGGCAGCGGCGGGTCGGGAAGG